CTCGGGGTGCCACCCTGCTTCACCAGAGGATGGCAGGAACAGGACAGAAGGGGCTGCGTGTGGGGTCCCCAGGCTGTGGCTTCCTTAGCGAGGGCACGGCTGGGATGGGGCAGGGCACCCTGTCACCCCTATGTCATTAACCCCTGTCACAGGGCTTGGCACCCAGTAGGTCCCAGGTTTGCATTGGGAGACAGGTTGTTTACATGGGCTGCAAGTGTTAAAAGCCGTAGGGCCAACACAGGGCACAGCTGAGCTCAACACGCCCTGTGGCTGCCTGTGAGGCACGGCCCTCGTACCCAGGCCGACTCTGGGCAAAGGAAGAGAGGCGACCGGTAACACGTTTTAAAAATGGGAAGTTCTTTGTTTGTTTGTTTGTTTGTTTGTTTTTAAAGGAACATGATCCATAATAGCCAAAAAATGAAACCATGACTCAGCTTAATATTTAGTCTTGGGTGAAGGTTTAGTAGTTTATCGCTTCCACACTGAAAAAGAATCTGGGAACGTTAACAACTCTAATAAGTGTAGAGACTAAGGGGTAATGTGGAAGAATGATTATGATTAGTAGTAACTGTGACAAAGGAGGCTCACCGGCTGTGTACTTGTTACTCCTGTGACCGCCTTGTAGGTCTGGGCCTGTGTTGTAGGGGCGGGACGCTGGGGGAGTGGAAAAACACTGAGAGAAGGTTGAGATGGTGGGGGGGGGGCGGATTTTTGTTTTTACTTCTCAAAATTAGTTCTCATGTTGACTTTATACATTTTTTTTTCTAAGAAGAATATTAAAAGAATATTTCAAAACCAATCTTATACCCCAAAATGTTAAAACGATTCTGTTTGGGTGATAGCATTAAATGGAATTTTAACGATTTGTTAATAATTTCTGTATTTGCTTATTTTTCTCCAATGAATAGTTAACACTTATAATTAGACAACAGCAACACAGCCAATAGTCACTCTCTTCCCTTTCCCGCCGGGGGCGGTGGACTTCCGCACCGACCTGGGCTTGGCCACGTGACTTGCGTTGGGTGGCGGGTCAATGGCAGACGTGATTCAGCAGGTTTGTTTGCGAAGGGGCCTTGCTCTCTTATACACCTGCCGTTATCATGAAGAGAACACAGTCTGGATAGATTGTCCGACCAAGAAAAACAAGAGACACACGGAGCCGCTCTTGACCCCACCTTTAGGCTGGAGCCAAGATCAGCAGGGCTCATTCTTGAACAGCTGACCCGAGGCAACACAGGTGTGAGTGGGAAGACATGAAGATAGTGTTTTTTTTAAATCCTTACCCAAGGACGTTTTTTCATTGCTTTTAGAGAGAGACAAAGGCAGAGAGAGAAACATCGATGTGAGAAACATCAGTTGGTGGCCTCCTTTATGTGCCCCGACGAGGAATCAAATCTACAACCTAGGTATGTGCCCTTACCGGGAATCGAACCCACAACTTTTCGATTCCAGGATCACACTCCAACCAGTTGAGCCACACCAGCCAGGGTGAAAGGATAATTGTTTTAAGCCACTGAGACTTGGGGCCAGTTTGTACAGCATTACTTGGATATAACTTGGTGATAAAGTTTCATTTTCAGCATCAACTTTCTAAGCAAAATCGTATTTCTCTTTCATTATTTTTCTCCCATCTTCCATTCTTATCAAATGTTACCCCACAGAGGTGGCCCAGGCGTGGAGTGACTGGGCTACGTTTTAGCTGGGGGAGGAATGAGAACCTGTAGAGACATTTTAGGAACCCCAGAATACCAAAGGCTTGAAATAAATGACAAAATGACACGAAAGCTGTAAGGTCGCCCCTACCATCAACAGCATTGTTAACTTTATAGATAAGTCTTATGAACCTCGATCACCGTTAGGCCCAGTTTGGGTTCCTCATCAGTCCTACATCATCAACCCTCCTCACAGCCGTTTCTCAGAACTGTCTACTGTCAGAAAGGGCCAGGGATGTGGGGGAGGCGGGGCAGGGACAAACCTAAAACCCAGGCCAAGAAATGCTAATCTGCAGAATTTCAATCAGTTCATTGTTGCAAGTAGCAGATAAAACATGTTACAATTCAAATGCCAGTTGCCAGGACGCCAGGACAGGGCGGGCTTCGGGGATCGCCGGAGCGACCGCTGTAAATGTCTCCTTAGTGGGCCTTTCTCTTCCGCAGAGACGCAGCACACTGCAGAGTGAGAGTGTGTGAGAGCCTGTCCTCTGCAGGACACCCCTCATCTCTGCTTCCAGAGGCCCCGGTGCAGGGTAGGACGGACAGACACGAGGACACGGACCTGCCTGGTTAGCTGCCACCCCTGCCCTGCGTGAGTGGTGTGTCAATTTACTTTCGTCTGGTGTGACTCTAACCTGCGGTTCCACAGCATTTTCCCAGCTGTTAGCTCACTGAAGTACGTGGTCTTGTCTGAGATGGTTCACATCCTCATTGAGGGCGTTTCTGGTCAGCGGGCTTGTTCGAGGTGACTCTGTCAGGAAATGACTTGGCCACCTGTTTGCTGTGCGTCTGTAAAGTGAGCCTGTGCAGAAGCCACAGCTCGTTCAGGTTTTTATTTTGTTTTTTTCCAAAGAGTCAGTAAAGCAATGCTTTGGTTTTCTCTAGCAAGGTTCCTTAGCTATTTGCTGAAAACAAGATGAAATAATCCCCCAATCTTGTATTATGATATTTGGTACATACATGATAGACAAGTTCATTGAAAGAAAAGTAGAAAGAGAGTTACCCAGAATTCTACCATTTAAAGATATCAGCGTTACCACACTAATCTACAACCTTCCAATGATTTTCTTTGCACACACAAAAACTGGATCATACGTACCACTTTGTAACTTGCTTTTTCCTCTTACAAATGATCATAAACACATATTCTTGCCAATAAATGTGTCTATACAATGTGCATTAATGGTTGCATAATATTTCATTTTATGGCTGAAATATAATTTTATAAACCTAATCCTCTATTTTTAATTTCTTTTTTCACTTTTGCTCTTATAAATAACTTTTTGATGAATACTCATGGACATAGATTCTTGAGCAAATGACCGGTCAGTTTTAAAGGTGTATTTCCAGATGTGGAATTACTGGCTAAAATCACAAATATTTTAATGTCGCTTTGTATACATTGTCAAGTTGCCTAACAGAGAAGCTCTAGCAACTCCAGTTCTCATTAGTAGTGAATGAACACACCCATTTTACCATATTCTTGCTAATAATAGGCCTTTGTCCGTTTTTTAACATTTATCTGCTTGACAGGTGATAACTGATACTGCATTGTCATTTTAATTTTCTTGGTTCCTACTGAAGATGACTCTATTTTTATATTGACTGATCATGCTCTTGATCATTAAAAATTTAATTTTTTTCTTATTGACATGTGGCAAGTTTGTTATTAGAGGATTTAAAGCCTGCCTTATATATTATAAAAATTATTTTCAGTTTTTAATCCTCAGTCAAGGGTATGTTTATTGATTTGAGAAAGAGAGAGAGAGAGAGAGAGAGAGAGAAAGAGTGACGTGAGATAGAAACACCGGCCGGGGCCCCGCGCATGCCCCCTGACCAGCAGTCCAACCCTCAGGGTGTACGGGGCAGCGCTCCAACCCGCGGAGCCCGCTGGCCAGGGCTGTTGTCATTCTCCTTTGTCTTTTTACCTTGGAAGTTTGGACATTGCATACGCTTGAAAATTTTATGTAATTAAATCTAGTAATGATTGTATTTTCACCTTCATCTTATAGTATCATGTTCAGAGAGAACTGGAATACTTTTTAAAATAATTTTGTTTCAGGAAGACATGCATCGGGTTTGTCCTCCGAATCTCTGAAAGCCGGAGAATGAGCTTCTGTGGCCCTCACGTAAGAACCCCACTTCGGCAGTGTTTCTGACACACACTCTTTTGTCCTCAAAACACAACACAGGCCATGCCGCTGTTTTCTGAAATTTAATGTTGAGATTTGTGTCTGGTGCCCAAAGGAGATTTCCTCAGCATCCGTACCCTGGCTGGTTAGGTGCCGGGCAGAACGGTCGCAAGATTTTCCTTCATCCTTGGAATGAAAAGAAAATGCAGGACGTGATGAAGGGAAGGGCTTTTTCATTCGTGGGCCCGGCTCTCGGTGGGGGCTTAGGGTTGGGGACGAAGATTACCTCAACTCAAGAAAATCGTCTTTTATTATTCATTTGGTCACTGTTTCCTCTCTGCCGGATGTCTTCTCTTCCTCTGGATTTCCTGTTCAATCCCAGGGCCCACCTGCACGCCTCGTATGTGAGTTCCAGAATTTTCCCAGCTGGCTGACGGCCTCGTCCTTCAGTTTTTTGCATCGTCCACATTGCTGGTCAGTGTTGCCGTCGCATTGTCACCCCATTAGCTATTGTTTCCCCTAAGGGGCGTCTTCCTTGATTCTAGATCGTTCTTCTTTCACGGCTTCAATAGCCTCTCAATGGTTGTTGAGAATCTGAACTTCATAGTTTACAAAATCGCACTCCTTTCCTACAGCAAGGTTTTTTCAAGAAAATACTCTTTTGAGATGATGAGCATTTTTTAATATGCCCAGATGTTTCTAGGCTTGCTCATCCTATACGGGACTTGGGAGAGGTTTAGGGAGAGTTTAGGTTCACGCCCAATTTCTTTAGTCTGAGAAAGACTCGATCATTTCTGTACTTTAACACCTCTGGGTCGAAGTTCCATTTCCAGAGAGACGTGCGGAAACTGCACCCAGAGGTGCTGGAGGACGATGCCGTCCTGAGGGCCCAGCGTCCTTTCGACCAGGCAGGGGCACCTGTCCCTTCTCAGGTGGACGCGCCGGCTCTCGCGTTGAGTCTGTTGCTGCAACGCCCTCGCATTTCTTACCACATTGTCTGCAACGCACTGAGCTGAAAAGGACGTGCCCTTTATGGCAGATTTTGCTGAGCGGGAAAATTTGCACCTGCTTGGAGTTGGCATCGCATGTAGAGAGAGCGAGGGGAAGCGAGCCCAGAGGCCAGCGCATCTGGAGGATTACTGCCAAAATGACTTACCAGGGACATCTGCGATGCTGTGATCCATTCGGGAGGGATGTGGAAATGAGCCCCAGCGGAGTCCCCGAGCAGGATGATGCCCCTGGGCTGCGAACCTAGGTGGCACAAATTGTCGGCATTAGTTATGCTCTCAAGTAGTTGGAAGCCCGTACACTGTGTAGTCAGAACAGCAGATACCCAGCGTGCGTTCTACGCACAGAGCGTCACAGCCGCGACGCATGGCCACCTTTGGTGGGTGGCAGAGTGAGGGCACAGCATTTCGGAGCCGAACGAGCTTTCTAGGCCACCGAAACTGCGAGCTAAGCTGTTCAGACGAAGGTGTGTTTTCTAGCTCAGCATAAAACAAGCTGCCATGAGCCCTCCTGAGTGAATGACGGACGAATAAGTGGATCAAAACTTCATCTGGACTTAGAAATATGCCCTACAGCTTGGTTCTGGAAATTGCAGTTTGGAAAACGTACCAATTTCTGTTATAATTCATTTTGAGAATTACTGGTCTCATGGAGCAATTTTGATGTATCAAAGATGCTATGACCCTTCAAGCTCTTAATCTGTATACTCGTACAGAGAAAAGCCCTGGGTGGACAATTCTGGCCGATCAGTGGCAAGGTGGAGAAACGAAGGTCTCTGTGCAGCCCAGAATGTTTGGGGGTTAAGAACCACTTCATCGGACTCAGAGGCCCACCTGCGTGACTCATCCACCCCTGGGTGGGGCGTGTGCTCTTCCAAGTCCCTAAGGGCCTGGAAGAATTCATTGATGCCTCCCCGAGTCCAAGAGGGAGCCTCCTTCCCCGACATCCAGCCCTCCAATCAGCCTCACTCCAGCAGCTTCCTGTCTAGGGCCTCTGTGGCTCGGCCACATGACTGGTGACTAAGAAGGTCCAGGACATCCGGGGGTGGGGGTTGGGATGTGGAGAATTCAAGAGGCTTCCTATGGTGACCCCAGAGCCTCGTGCCGGGATTTTGCTTAGATTTGAGTTTATTTATTCGCTAGTTTATTTGTTCACGTATTCATCCAACAAGCATTTCTAAACTGCATAGCTCTGGGTTGGGACTTTACATATTCGGCCCCCCCGCCCTCTGCCCCTCTGAGAGCTCCCCTATAATTATTCTCTAAGTTGACTGGGGTCAAGGACTGTGTCGTGTCTGCCCATGAGAACTCAGAGCCAACTACAGCTCTTGGTACTTAATAGGAATAGACATTCAGGAAATATCTCTTAGATGAATGCATGAATGAATGAATGAGTGCAATGTTTCTAAATGTGAGGGAAAACTATTGCCTAAACATAAAACAGTGATGCTACCACAGGGTCTTATTTGGGCATCTCAGGAGCATGTTTTCAGTGATATGTGGGTAGTAATAGGTTTTTCCTAACGGTATCGACAGCCCAGATGTCTGAGGCATTTAAGCATTTAGAATACAGAGGTTTGGCTCAGCTCTTTTTGGGAACTCCAGTGGCTATAGCTTGGACATCTCCCTTGAGCCATCCAGGTGTCTTTATCCCAGGTGACACAGGGACTCTGTCAGTTCAAGCCCAGACCCCTGAGCTTGTTGTATTTTGAGAAGGACACAGAGAAGATTAAAAATGATCACCTCCACTTACTTTCTTATTTGGAGAAGTGCTGGATTTTACCACTCTTTTTCCTATGCTGCAGCTTTCTCTAACATTACCATTCAAGCTTCCAATCCTCAGATAAGGGAGACAATTAAACAAATTCAGTTTTGCTTTCTCTAGATTTTGCCTCCTTTCTCTAGAATCCTTTTCATATCTCTTTCGGATTTGTCATGAAAATAAATATAAATTAGTCACGCTTAAGTTGTGGCATCAGGCACATCCTCACTTGGGTGGTCTATTCCCTTCAATCTGACTTAGACTAGGAAAAAATATTCCATTGTAATAACCAGATGGACTTTTACAATTCATACCTTCGCAGAATTTCTTCTCATAGGGAATTCCATCTTTTGGATCAATACCCTGTAGAAGAGAAACGATGAGATTAGCAGTTTGTTTTTATATTTGTGAAACACATACATTAAATCCTCCCCAAATGGCTTTAAAAGTACAAAGGCAAGTGAGCAGATAAACCCTTTGAAGTCTCTTGAGTTCTTATTCCAACACAGCAACACTCCATGCAAGTGCATTGGGCTTTAAGGAACTGGTCTCCATCTAGAAGCATCGATGATTCTAGAGTTGCGATTCTCCAGAGGGCTGCTTTTGCCCCGCATCCCCACCCCAGGACATTTTTGGCAATGTCTGGAGGAAATTTTGGTTGTTACCATGGGGTGCAGGGAGGGGGAGGTACTGACATCTAGCTAGTAGAGGTCGGACATGCTGCTGAACAGCCTACAATTTATAAGACAGCACCAACAATCAAGAACGACCCCACCCAAAGGTCACCACGCCGACAGGGAGAGTCCGGCAGTGAGGTGGGGTCTGTGAGTAGCCCCGTTATCATGAGTGAGGGGCTTCCTCCCACTGCACGCGAAGTCTGTCCGCTGGTGGAGCGGCCGGCCCTTGAGAGATTAAGAGTGGAGTCTGGGTGACTTTAAGGGAAAGCTTTAAAAAATATATATGGATATATACACATATCATTGGTTTTTGTTTTCTTTTGCTTGCCACACTGTAGTCTGGAGAGCACTAGTGTATCACTAGATAGCGATGGTTGCATTAACCGTATTCTAAGACAAAAGTTCTTGGTGGTCAGAGATGTGTTAGAAACCTCATGTTTACTCTCTTGGTCTTGGGGGCCCCCAGTGCATGCCACAACATCAGAATGCTGAGAAATCGGGAAGTAATGAGAACGGCCCAGGCCTCTCAGTACTTCCTAAACTTGACCATAGGACCCCTCCCCAGTGCCTATTAACATCACACTCAGCACTGGGGTTCTGGGGGAACAGTGTGGGAAATAGTGGACTCGATGGTCCTAAAGTCCCCTCTGACGTTGTGATTTTGTGAGCCCGTGAGCCCTTTTTGCTCTGTGAGAAGGGGAGGCATGAAGGCAGTGGGCCTTTCTGCCGCGACTCACGGTGAGCTGCGTCTCGGCTTCCTCTGCTCACGGTGTTTCCACTGGCCGAGCACAGTCTCTTACGTCCTTGTGTGGGTGGCCCAGCAAGTCATAGGCAGGGATGGGGCCGTGGAACAAGGACAGCTGTCTCACACACGATCAGCCCCTTTGCCTCCCAACATGACACCTTCGTTTGAATTTATCAGAACAAGAACTGCCTTGTGGGGGTCTTGGCACCTTAAGATCTAGGGGAGACGCCTTCTCCTCCTCATGAAAAGAAAGTGTGCCTGGCAGGTGGGGTGGGCCGGGCTACAATCTGTCCCGTCCTCCATACCCCAGAAGCCGTGGACTGTCAGTGTCCTGGAGACAGGGAAATATTTACAGAAACATTCCCCATGTCGTCCAAGCAGATCAATGAGGCGACTACTCAGAGGCAATGTATCTTGAAGCTGGGGGATCTTAAACGCCAGGGCTCCTCTGAGCCCCACCCTTGCTTCTGTGAGTGCTGGGGGCAGCTGGGAGCCATAGAGTGTTCCAGGCGGGGAGGAGAGAAGCCAGGTTGCACTTGGGACAAAATTTCCAGGTAAGCATTTGTGCTAAATCCAAAAAGAGATCTCAAAAGGATGGGCCTGCATTTCTAAGACTCTAGTAACTTGTTGGGATGTCTTTCATTGTTCTAATCAATTGCTTCCTCTCCTACTTGATGTTGTATCTGTAATTTGATATTGAGGACCCCCTTCATTGTATAAGCTCAAGGCCCCGCCCCACGAAACCAGGGCCAGCAGCTGCTGCTGCCCTCAGATGCATGTTCGGTTGGCTTTCCTCCTTCCTTCCCTTTTCTCGGTCTGGGTACAGCAAACCCATTGTTTACAGGGAGCTGGGCCATCGGAGTTAGGTGCTCCATAGTGTGTAACTACAGGGCGTGGCCCACGCTGCCCACCTCGCCTTACGATGCTGAAGGGAAGTGGCGGCCATGACAGGGTGACAGCCAGTGCTTTGCTAGCAGACGTTCAGATGGATGTAAAACTCGGCTGCCGCTGCTCTCCCTGTCATTTCAGGCTGCTCAGAGGAGCATGAAGAGGTCAGGTGTGGGCGACCTTCAGCAAGGGTTAACGGGGCAGTGGCGGAGGGGCCCCACCTTTGTGAAGAGAGCCTAGCTTTGGTCTGTCATCTCCTTCCCCACGTGTGACAAACACAGACAAGGCGTGGGGTCGCAGGAGGGCAGGTCCAGGCTGAAATCTAGTTGCTTACCCAGATGCCATTGCAGTTGGAGTCCTGGTGGGCGTCCCAGTTGTCCGGTCTGAGAAGAAAACGTCAGCATTGGTCTTTGGCATACATTTGTCCCTCAGTGGCGTCAGCACCATGGGTGAGCTGTACCCAAAGCGTCACTGAGAGAGCGCAGACTCTCCCGCTGTGGCGCACGGAAGCCTCTGCCTGGCTCCGTGGCTGCCACCTTGGTGTGAGGAATTGGCCAGGCATGCTGGCCCGAATCCAGCCTCTACATGGCTGACTCGGCCAGTGCCCAGCTTTGCTGGGGAGCAGCACCGGTGAGCGGGCTAACTGGACCTACGGCCTGTTTCACTGGGACAGCTGATGCCGTTAAAACAGTGCCCCTCAAGTCCCTGGCACCTGGTTCATTTGGGGCTCTGGCACTGTGGTCCCAGCGGAGGGGACACCTCCAGTTTGTTGAAGTGAGAGAAGTGATCAGCTGAACATCAGCCCAGAACTCGAATGTGACATGTTTGTCACTCTCTGGAGCACCCCTCCCCCCGCCTGTCCCAGGCCCTGTGAGCCTCGGGCAGGTGGCTGGGAAGATGCCCGCAATGAGCTGTCTATGTGGTCGTTTCTCCCACTAGACCTGAACCTGCACGGGAGGAGGAAGTTTATTTCCATTCTGTTTACCGCCCCAGCAGGGTGCACTGTGTCTGGCAATTAGTAGCTGCTCGGTGGGACTTTCTTGGACAAATGATGTCCTTGTTTTCGCCAAGCTTTGCCTCAGTTGGGCCGGGGGGTGGGGGGATTCTCCCTGTGAGCATGAACCCCCAGGCTGGGGAGAGGAGTGATGCTTCCTGCCTCCTTTTCCGAAGGGGACCTTCAGGGTCAGCGGCCAGCAGGGACGCTTACCTTCTGCCGGGGTAGGTCCTCTCGTTGCTGTCGTTGCAGTCCCGTCCCCGCCAGTGGTAGCCCCGCAGCGTCTGAAATCCAAGAGCACACGGGGGAGGGTCAGTTCTTCCTGACCTTCAGGACGAGGCCCGGTCAGAGCTGCCCGCGGGGGACAGGCATCTGCCGTTTGTAACTCAGACGCAGCCTAGGAGCTCTAGCCATCGCGAAGGGAATTAAGGTTAACGCGACTGAATACACTGAGGGAGGTGAAACGTGACACAGCACCAGGGCCAGTGACGGGGCAGCGCGTGCCTGTGCGGATGTGCGCGCATACACGCTACTGGGCGCGTGCCTGTATGGGGGCGCACATGTGTGAACATGCATGTGGGTGCATGGGCACACGTGTTGGCATGTGCACATATGTTGCACACATGTATCAATGTGTTCTGTGTGCACGTCCAACTGTAGGACCATCCAACTCCCCAAACTTTCTCTGTTCATCACCAGTCGTGTGAGGATCTAGTCAATTACTTTATTTGGTCAAATGACTAGTCATTTTACTGGATAATTAAAAAATCATTAGCTAAACTGGTTAATCACATGGACTTATTATATGCTGGGCCTGTCTGACTTGAGAGAATCAAGAGTCATGATAACGTCAGAAATGTTTTCAGTTCCTCGTTACCAGGTGGGATATCTGAGGTCTGACCGGCTTTGGGGGCTTTGCGACATGTTACTTGCTTGTTTCTTTCACAAAGAACATCCTGACGTCCGAGCTACTCTACCGTGAAGGTGCACACGTGCATACTCTCTCTCACACATGCTTTTAAAAGGTTGGTTGGAATAGGTTTAAGAATTTCCAAAATAATTCCCAATGCCTTTCCGTTTCAGCCCCCACAGAGGTTTCTCGCTGAGCACAGCCTCAGGAAACCGAAACCCAGGCCGAAGGCCCACCTCGATGGGCTGTGCGTTACTAAGCCGCCAAAAGTCATCAAAACTGTGAAGTGGTGTATTATCAAATTGATAATGCCTTCAAGTGGAATTCGGTGTTATCTTTTTACAGAGACTTGTGGGAAGTGGCGCAAGAGTCAGCGGCCACCTGGCTGCTGTTAACTGTACTTACTGGGAAAGCACTGTATTTGTCGGAATCAACATCTCGGAATGGCACAGAATTCTCTATACTTCTGGAGGAAAGGAAACAAAACACCTGGTGAGCTAGGGAAAAAAGAAGCTGTGAGAGCAAACACAGACATTTTCAGACACGGCTGCTCTGAGTTTATGTGATAGAAGCCCATTCTGAAAATAAAATAAGAGAGCCGGGCAAAGTTGGCCAACCCCCGCTCCCCACCAGCAGAGCTCTCTCCTCTCTGACACTCAACTCGCCCCACGTGGGGACACGAAATGACTGAACGGAAGCTTTTGTGGGCACGGGTATTGATGCTGGGATCCCCTGGGAAGGAGGCTGCATTCGGGGTCCAGACAGCGAGCTCAGCACTCACAGGTTGAACTTGTGCCATTTTACACACCACTCTGGGATGCAGGTCTTTTCTTGAAACTTTACTCTTGAAAAACTTACGCTGAGGATCTTGAGGCATAAGAGATGAGATTGGGAATGCATTTAAGGGAAATAACGCATGTGTGGGTTTATGCTTATGGAAAGTAAACAAAACGAATAGGTCGTGAAGAGGGGACCCTCCTGACTTAGCGTCGCTACAGTAAAAAGTAGACAGTGTGCCCAGGCCGGGGGGCTCAGTTGGTTGGAGCGTTGTCCTTACACCACAAGGTTGTGGGTTTGACTCCCCTGTCTGGGCACCTGTGGGAAGCAACCAAATGATGTTCTCTCTCTCTCCCCCCGCCCTCCCCCTCTCTCTAAATCAATAAAAAGTATCCTTGGGTGAGGATAAAGAAAAAGACAGTGCGTAGGCACTGTGAATTCCAGCCAAAACAAGACAACAACAGCTACGGAAAACCTGATCGCCCCGTGGTGGTGGCCTGGTATCCTACACGTCTTTTTTGCTAGTAAAGGAATGCTTTTTCTCTATGTGTTTCCTTGTTTCTTCATGGAGTCCCTACGAATGCTAAGCACAGCGCAGGGAACAGGGGATAAAAGGTTTACTAATGAATGGTAGCCCTGCTCTCCAAGAGCTGGCGGTGGGCGTGGGGACTGCTGGGGGCGTGGGGACAGCATGGGGTGCGGAGGCCGGCCCCAGTGAGCCTGGGGTACCACCACAGGGGCTAACTGAGCGGCTGCAGTTAGGCTGGGAGCTGGGAAAGTTCCCGCGGGTGGGGTCCCCTCCAATGTATTTTGAAGACTCTAGACTCGACCAAACAGGATGGGGACAGGGACAGGCACAGAGCAGGCCAGGCATTGCTGCCAGAGGAGGTTTTATCGAAGGATTAGTCAGTAGAAGACACAGTAGGTCCGTCTCTACCACCTGCCAACTGTGTTGCTGGGTCAGGCGTTTCATGTGCCAGAAACCCGCTTGCTCACCTGAAAGTGGGGTTGAGAATCGAGGGACAGACAATGTAGTGTCTCTGAGCCCGTCCTTTGGAAACTGGTTGCTGGATTCAGATATCAGATGTCTCCACACCTGCTCTGTGACCTTGGGCACATGATTTTACCTCCCTAGAAAAGGGGATAATAATGGTGCCTGCCTTCTAGGGTTGTATTGACAAAGGTTCCTGGTGCCAGGTAACTTTTAGTTATCATTGTTAATACCGAGCTACAGGCTGTTTTGGAGGAAAAAAATGAGATTGCATTTAGATGTGCTTCATAAACCATAGAGCACTGAATAAAGCTGATGCGGTGCAAATCAGACTTGAACCACAATGAGTTTTAGAAAGGAGAAAAATATACTGCTTTCACTTGTTCATAAAAGAAGAATTTCCCTTTTAAATTAGGCCGGGAAAAATCCCCCATGGCAGATGCCCTGGAAATCAGTTTTTCAGAGGCGATTCCCTTGAAGAGTCGTCACTTTGGATCCTAAGGGTCCTCACTGAATGTAGAAAAGGCAAGGGTGTTTTCAGCAAGGAGCGGACGGGGTCTCCGTTCAGCGAGGGCAGGGCACGATGAAACAATCGGGGGCCTGGGGGGCTGGGTCGCAGCCTCCCTGTGTCTTCTTTCTCTCAGCTATTTGCCGCCCACCCCCACATCCCGTGTCCTGACGCTTGCTCTCTGCATCCACCCCATTCATGAAAAAGGGCGTTGACACTGTTACAGAGACAATTCTCACAGCTGGTTTGCAGGAGCTCATGTGGCGGATGAGCTAGGAAAAGCCCTTAAACTCTTGGCTCCCTGAGAGGCTCTGCATGTGGGCCAGACGCAGCTCTTCCTCCTCTCCCGAGGAATGTCCGCAGCAGACAGGCGGTGTGCCTTGGATTTGGGTCCCGCGGAGCTCATGAGATGAAGGACAGTGGGGTGTAAGCTCCGTGACTCTGTCACAGTTGAACCGTGTTCAGCAAGAAGATAGGTTGAACTTCTAACCCCTAGTCCCTGGGAATGTGAACTTATTTGGAAAGACGGTTTTTGCAGCTGTTTTTGTGTGACGAGGAGGCCATCAGAGCGGTCTCTAATCCGATATGATTGGGATCCTTATAAAAGGCAAAGACAGACGCACGGGGAAGGTGGCCACATGAAGATGGAAGCAGAGACTGAAGTGGCGCAGCTACAAGCCAGGGACACCGAGGACTGACGGCCACCACCAGACACAAAAGATCAAGGAAGGATCCAACGCAGAGCCTCAAGGGCATCTCGGAGGGGCCCTGCCGACACCTTGCTTGCTGGCCTCCAGCCTCCAGAACTGGGGGAGGACATGTTTCTGCTGTTCTAAGCCAGCCAGTGTGTGTGTTTTACTGTGGCAACTCTCGAAGACTAATATCGCTTCCCAGTCTGCCCCCCCTCGGGGCGCTCTCCCCCATAGGCCCTCACAGTGAGAACGAGGCTGCACTGAAGTTGGCTCACACGACAGAGCCTGCCTGCCGGAGAGCAAGGAGGAAGGCCACAGGGGCCGGGGCGGGTGGCGTGCTCCTAGGGACGGCCCGCAGCTACAGAGCGTGGTTTGGAGGCAGGAGAGCATCACTCGGGCCTGTAGCGTCCACGGTCTGGCACCAGGATAGAACCTGAGTGCTGGGGAGGACAGAGACCACTGGAGCCCAGGAAAGTGTGGTGCGCCCCCACTAGGTCCCGGGCCAAGCAGCCTACATGGAAATCATTCCCAAGTGATTCTGAGGTGTAGTCCTAATTTAGCATATACCTTAATTTTAGGTATGGGGAAACAGAGGCTCAGAGACATTACTTGGCTCGTTTTCAAAGCCGGCGCAGGAGACAGCATTGTCCAGGAGCCAAGAATGTGGACGTTCCCCAAAGAACACATGCGGTCCAGTGCACCTGGGTGGCAGGTATCTTGGGCCCTCGGGGGCTGGGAGACACAGCTTCACCAGCAGCCTCTGTCCCTGCCTCAGGAAGAAGTCCGGTCTTGAGGCGCCAAAATACTGGTATTGAGTATATTTTCAAAAGAATTGGTTTGGAGATAATGGATCCTGTAGGTTCTTCTGTATGAGTCATGAGCGGGAAACACTTTCCCTTTCGGGGAGATGCCTTGAACATTTGAAGGTGGTTTTAGTCATTAGAAAACAGGGACAACCAGAGATGCCACCGCGGGCAGTAGTCAGAAGGGTGGAAATAGAATACATACGATTTAATCTCCTGACAGATCTTGGTCAAAAATGGGAGTGAACAAATGTCAGAACTGCTTCTGGAATATTTCTGGAGGGAAACAAAAATAGCAAAAAGAGTTGGTTAGCTCAAGGAAGGGTCTCCCTGCTTCTCGAGGCCCTTCCTCTCCTGTGGGCTCCAGAGTCGGGACTTCGGAGCCCTCCTTTCTCCAGAACCCTGGCCGTCCCACTCAGAGACAGTTCCCTCTGCTCTGGCCCCACACGGGTCATTGGTTCCAGGTCCGAGCCTGTGTTCGGCCCGCGCCCCTCCACCCGCCAGCGTTCCCGCCTCCCCCTGCCCGCCCTCCCCTGTCTTTTCCCCAGGGTCTGGCCCGCTTTGGGCGGATCTCCTCAGGCAACAAAATTCCTCGTCCTCAATGTACTTCAGTGCTTTGAAAAAGGACTTGAAAATGAATGCCATATCAAGTAAGACCATTCCATCCCTTCGGACAAACGGGAAGAAGCAGGGACGCCAGGCCCTCCCCCGGGAGGCAGAGGCAGGGCAGGCGACGCCCCTCGCGCTTTGGGAGCCGAGGGACTGCGGTTTCCTCGGGCTCTCTGGCTCTGTGATACGTGAAAAGCCCGGCCATGACGAAGCTGTGCTTCTAGAGAGAGCGTGGTTTCCACACTGCTTCACTGCTTTCCTCAGATGAAAGAAAAACACAACAGGGTAGACAAAGGTAGGGATCGCCATTTATCAACAAAGGGAGAGGTACTGCCGATTCCTGCCAGCAGATGGCGAGGACCTGTGTTAACGAGTCAGTGAAATTTTGACCTTGGCGGAGGAGAACGACCTTTCCAGGCTCTGAGTGAAGTTGGGAGTGTGGTCAAGATGTTTGCGCAGTTCTCTAGGTTTAGACCAGCAGCCCTGACTCGCGCCTCCCTCTGCCTGCAAGATGTGGAGATGGAGGAGTCCCTCCGTGTCTTTGCGGAGCCCACGGTCTCGGGGCACCCGGCGCTGGCAGGGGTGGGGGTGCTCTTCAGGCTCTTAGCGGGCCAGCGAGGCCTGCACTGGTCCAGGCACTGACATGCCTCCCTAGGGACTCAGAGGAAGAGGCAGCTGGGAAGGTTAAGACCCGTGCTCTGGGCTCTGTGGCTCTGCAAGAGCATACTCTGCTGAATTGCTAGCGAGGCAATTCATGGGTTCCACCGATGTGCTAAATCAGAAAGCCTGGCAAGGGTCGCAGTAATCTGTGTTTTCGTGGGGTCCGGTCACCGTGCTGCCGGCTACACTTCGAGAACCATGGCTTCAGGTCCTGGCTGCTGAAAGCGTAATTGCAAACTAGGAACACCGACGCCGCCTGGGAACCCCGACAAAGGCAGAGCCTCAGGCCATGTGGCAGATCTGCTGCATCACAGCCTGCATTTTATAAAGGTCCTGGGTGTCGGGGTAGCACGGCTGCAGTGGAGGGGGCACCCCACGCAGCGCTGCGGGAGTTGCTGTCTCTGAGGACCGTCAAACATTCCAACCTGGTTGGAACACAGGGAACCACGGGATCACGGTGACCCGTGGAAGGAAGGAGGTGTTGCGACAAGTCTACAATGCTTGTCAGTGCCACCCTGGGGGCCGTGGGGAGTCCTTGAAGGTGTTAAGCAGAGGGATTGCATCTGTCGTTTAGAGCGAGATCTCTGGAGTTGGGAGGATGGCCCGGAGGGGGCCAGATGGGACGCAGAGGCCCGTTGGCAGCTGGAGACCCCAAGGCCTGATGCCGGGGTTTCTAACCTCAGTGTCATTGCCGTTTGGGGCCGAATAAGTCTTAGTTGTGGGTGTCTTGTGACACAGAATCACAAAAAATATCTCATAATGTTTTAAGTAAATTTATGATGTTGCGTTGGGCTACATTCATAGCCACCCTGGGCCATGTGTGGCCCACGGCCACAGGTTGGTCACCCCTGGTAAAAGCTCCCCGGAAGGTCCTGCTGAGCGGGCAGGTTTCGGATCAGGGCCGCTGTGTGCAGCAGCCCGGGTTGTGCACTGCGTGGTTCTGGGACCTCCAGAGCCTGCAATGCGGGCAGTGCAGCCTGGAATTTAGTACCGAGGGGGTCTGGGTGAGGGCCGCCAGTGGAGTGGGACGGGTAGGCACTTGGAAGTAGCTAAACCTGGATTTAAACGATGGATGTCTCACTCAAAAATCGGGGGAATGAGCCCATTACTGAACCTGTCTGGTCCTCGGTTCTCTCATCTGTGAAACGGGGTTGATAGCGGAGGTATGTTACCTACTTTGTGGGAGTTTTTGTGAGAATTAAATAAAGTGATTCCATGACCCAGGCTCTCTGACCCCTTAGAGATCAGTGTTGTGCCAAATCCAAGGCAAGTCGCCCTGAGGAGGCTCTCGGGGCCTCTGGCAGGTACAGATCTTCTCTGGAGCGTTTGATTCCCTGCAACAGAGCGGACAGGGCGGAGCTTTCACCGGTCTGGCTTCTCACGGCCAGGAGGCCGACTCTGCGCTGCTTTCTGCAGCCTGGCTAGGTCTGCGGCTCTCAGCGGCACCCCGCTCCGCAAACCCACCCTGGGGAATTCATTGCCACCGATATCCTCCCAGCAGCTTTCCCGAGATGCTTATTTGCGTTTCTTGATTATGTTTTTTCCTTGAGAGCTTTAATCTGGAGAGTAAGTAAATTGGAGGACTTTTGTTTGAGAAGTGCATTATTGTTGAATTGTTCAGTAGAATTTTTTTTTTCCTTTGGCTTCATGCAAGCAATTATTGGAATCCGACCCCATGAATTATGCCTGCAATTCTGGTGACAGAAATAGAAAACTGTAAAATCCTAATTAGCCTCTGAGTGAATGCCAAGGCAGCTTGTGCCAAGTGGAGAAAACAATGCCCCGAGAATAAGTGTTTAGATGCCTGGAGAGAAGGAGAAAGGGAGAACTGTGTTACCGTCTTTGGTCCTGTTTAGAATCTGAAGTGATGGTCAAGGGTTTCAAGTGGCGTTTCCATTTCTTCTTCAATGACTTGAGCAGATGAGCCTACCCAGCTCCAGTTGGACTTTAATAGTTCACTGAATTAAATAATGATCAGCAATGCAGACATGGTGATGGATTACTAGGTCGTGTAGAAATGCCTGCATAGTGTCATGAAACAGGCATCGACCTTGCACATTGAAGCCCAAACGTGCCCCCCACCACGAGCGGTGTTGCCAGATAAGGTATTGCACTGGACACACTTATACCACATAATTATTTATCATTTATCTGCTGAAATTCAAATTTAATAGGGCATCCTCTGTTTTTCTCTGCTGCATCTGGCCAGCTGAGCGTCGAGGGGTAGTGCTCCCCTTCACTGGCACGTTGCCAAACCAACCCCCCCTTCACAGTGGCGCATGAGGGTGGGTGGTGAGCTGGCCGGCGGGGGGAAGCCCAGGCCAGGGGCCCTGCCCTCTCGTCTCCCCATCTTCATGACGCTGCCTCGCTCAGGGCTGTAACATTGAGGGACACACTCTTTTGAAAAGTCTACTCTTTTACTTCCTTTTCAGTTGGGGCTGATTTGTAACTGGGGCCTAAGTCGAATACTTGGCCCCATAATAACTGATTTGAACTAAACATTCTCTCTGTTGAATCAAAGCATTAAGACAAAGAGGACAAGTTAGGGAGAGCAACAATTCTGTGACGATTGGCCTAGTATCTATGGAGTGCCTGATAAATCCCAGGCACGATACCGCGAGCTTCCCACACATCAACTCCATTTGTCCTCCCACCCGTGCCTGGAGGCAGGAACACTGCTATTGTCCCCATCTTACCGAGAGCAAGACTGGGGCTCCGTTTAAGGTCCCATATTTAGAAAGTGGAGGAATGGGAGGATATACCGCCTCCTCCAAAGTGGCCTACTGGAGAGCGCAGGTCTCCATGGGGCTCAGGGGACATTTGCGAGCATCAGGATACATTTTTGGTTGTCACGACCCGGGAGGGATGGGTAGCCATGCTGTCCTCTAGTGGGTGGAGGGCAGGGACGCTGCTAAACACCCTACCATGCACAGGAGGGCGCGCACGACAAAGGATTATCCAGCCCGACATGCCGGGAGTGCCGAGTTTGGGCAATGTTGCTGTGGAGAGAAGGGTGGGGGAGGGGAAGGAGCGCACATGCCTACTCCCAGCCCAGGACCACTGCAGTGCGCACAGCAGCCCGGCACTCTCCCCCCGCGGGCTTACCGGGGTCCGAGGCTTCTTGACAATCTGTCTTGCCTTCTCCAGAGTAAATTCCCAGGTCTCCTGTGAAAACAAGTCAGACAACATTATCGCTTGTGTCTTCTCTTTTCTTTCTGTGTCTTTTTTAGAGTTAGGAGTTTTCAAGTCTGTGAGTTTGAAACAAAGAAATTATTCCATAACTTTGTGATAAGATAATTCTCAGGGAGGCCATTTCACGTTAATAACAATCCTAAGGAAGGGACTCCCTCCATGCCCGGTGTCACGCTAAGGACTTTGCAAACATTACCTCGTTTAGTCTTCACAACAGCTCTGAGAGGTCTGACCTTTTTATGGATGAGGAAAAGGACACACGGAAAAGCTAAGAAGCTGGCTGCCGCCGCGCTCAGAGCTGGCATCCTGCAGACACTCGGTCTGAATCCCCGCCTCCTTGCCCGCAAGGCTTCGCCAGCCTCCCCAAGGACAAGCTTGTCATGGTGTCTGAAAGCCCCGAGGCAGGAGACGGCCCCAGCCAACCTCGGCCCCAGTACCGGGCAACGGTTGACCAAGTGCCACTCCACCCCTCCTTCCCTCCGCTTCTCCTGGGTAGACAGCCCCTTCCTTCGACCATTTCTTGAGCGTCTGAGCACATCTCCTGAGTTTACACTGCAAACGCACAGTTAGCTAACTAATCCCAATGACTACCCCTGTGGAATTCCGTATTTGTGTATTTTTAGGAGGCCTGGGAGAAAAACAACCCAGCGCGGGTAAGGGATGGAGAGTGTTGGCCCCCCGCACGGCCTCCCAGCGCTTTTGTCCTGGCCCTGATTGTCCCTCCTCGGTCTTCCCCTTGTGTGGTGCCGATGGAGCGTGGGGGATGGATTCCAACCCAGCCCCGCGGTTCCCTAGCTGTGCGTCCTTGGGCAGCTTCTACGCTGCTCCTTAGCGTGATAAAAAGCCCTATTTTTATCCTGTGTAATACAGGAATTATAGCGATCTACCGCCTAAGGGGCCGTGAGGGTCAGAGGCCGTTGTCCATTGAAGTCCCCAGCCCTGGGCCTGTGCTGATCACCCCCTGTTGAATAATTGATATGGTTTTTAAAAAAATCTTTTTCAATTACAGTTGACATTCAATATTATGTTGTATTGGTTTCAGGGGTACAGCGTAGTGGTTAGACAATCCTATACCTTATGAAGTGTCCCCCCGACGTTTCCGGTCCCCACCTGGCACCGTGTACCATTATTACAATATTATCGACTGCATTCCCCACGCTGTACTTTACACCCCCGTGAGGACTTTGTAACCACTCATCTGTACTTCTCAGTGATTGGAAAAACTTCTCCCCAATCAGGAGGGAAGCTGGGGTTCTGGGAGAGCGTCATCGTTCTGACTCTAGGTAACTGAGAACTTCGTCCCTGCATTAAAGCAGGAAAAAGAAGAAAAGGACCCTGGAATGGGACTTCGGAGCTGGCTTCTCAGCAGGCGAGGCCTCTTGGGAGAAGCTGGCCTTGCTGCGGATGGGGGGTCAGGGCCCAAATCCCCCCTTGACTCTCATGTGGTTCTTCACGCGGGAGGGGCCTCCCTCCACCCTGCAGCTGGGCTGTCTGCGGACCTCAGCCACGCTGCGGGGACAGGAGTGGAGGAGGGACGGCTGAGGATGGCCGGGGGTGCAGGGCATCCTCCAGGAGGGGCTTCAGGGAGGCGGGTGGTAAAGCCAGCTGCCACCTGCGCTCCGAGCACATGGCGGGCGCGACCGAAACCCTCTCCCTGCTGTCTGCTCCAATTCACACCCTAGCGGCTCAGGCTCAAAAAGCGCCACACCACGGCGCTCGCGGCCCAGGCAGCTGGCCCCTGGCATCTACACATGCATGTTAGCTACTTGGAAAGAGAAGCCGCTTTCCAGGCGGGTCTGGTTGCCAGGATCCCTACAAGGCCGGTTTCTCAAAACGTCGAAACCCTGCTGTGGGTCAGTTGGTGAACAGTTGTGTTCCCGAGGACTTGAGGGTCCCTTTCCCAGCTCAGGCCATCCAGCCTCTCCCTGGGACCCCCAGACCTCTCTGGGCCCGGTCACCCAAGGTCAAGATACGGCCAGACCGCGCTCCAACACCGTGCCCAGCGTGTGCTCTGACTGGGCAAAGGCCAGATCAGCTCACGACAGCCATCGACTTTAAAACAGACACCTTACACAGAAAGGCTGTGCAGGGAACAGCCCCAATGAAAAACGACCCTGCGGAAGGCAGTTCTGGCTTTTTCTGGAAATTCCAACATGTCCTGGAGATTCTCCTATTGTACGACACAAGCTTCTCTGGCAGGATCATGGTGAGACATTAGATCCAGGGGCCTGTCGCTGTTTGGGGGCCCTTTTTGGGCCCCCTTGTCCGCCTAAAGCTCATTCTCATTCTCCACAATATCGAGACTGGACGGTGGGGCCCCCGCTTCTCTGCCCGGGGTACCCCTTTGCATTCAAAGGCCCGGCTCGAGATCTATGTGGCCTCCTGCAGACCCCGCTCTGTAGTAGGTGCTCGGTTAGTATGGAAATAGAAAAGGGAGAGAAAACATTTATGACAGTATATCAAGCAAGGGAAGAAGGCCACTGGATTTTATAGACCCAGAAGAAATCCTGCAAAGAAATACGCTATGATAACTGTGGGTGGCAGCTTTTCCTTTTGGTTCTTTTCTGTGTTTTCTACATTTTTCAGTAAGGAGCACACAGTCAGCAATGTTTTCAAAAAACAAAAACAAATGCAATACCAGTTGCCCCGTTTCTTACCGAAGTGAAAACGAGGTGCTCCCAGCACAGGGATGCAGGGGGGACCCAGGCGGCCTGTACACATACCCGCCCTCCTGGCGTTTCCGCCGGCGACGGGACAGGCCAGGAGCAGGTACAGCAAAGAGAAGGGAGGTGAAGCGGGGAGGGCCCTTGGCCACCTCCCCCTAGGAGGGGCACCTGGCTCCCCTCGAGAGAACTGATTTGATTTTAATTCAGCTTCGTTCTCTGGGGGGATCCAGGTTGACTGAGGGAAAGAGACAAGCAAAATAAGTAAGTGACAAGGGCCACACCTAATGCCTTCTGACCCCCTCCGTGCTGGGTGTGACAGATGCTTCGGTGGTCCCGGCTGAAGTGCAGAGGGCAAGTTTGTCTGGACCTGGCTTGACCAGAGCACCACTTTCTCCCACAGTGCAATTGTGCTGATTCCAACACAAAGAAGAGAATCTGGACAAAGCGCTGATCTTTATTCCCCAGAAGAAAAAAGATGTAAGGACTCAAAGACATTTGGGAAAGCTAATTTGTTCGCTTATCTTAATGGCAGGCAAAGGGGGCAAACACTCAGCAAGTGAAAATGAAGATAATTATCATTCCTTCGTAACCTTTCTCTGTTGGCAACCCAGGGTTTAAGCCAATGTTTATAAAGTGTGAGGATCACTCCTTCATCTTCTTTAAAATGAAAACCTTGCAGGGGTGTCCAACCTTTTGGCATCTCTGTGCCACCCTGGGAGAAGAAGAGTTGTCTCGGGGCACACATTAAACACATCGTGACATGTAATCACAAACTAATCTCATGATGTTCTAGGTGAATTTGTGATTCTGCGTTGGGTCACATTCGTAGCCATCCTGCAGGCTGCCGGTTGGACACCCCTGCTAGAGAGCGCACCTGCAATCGGCAGTCGAGGAGAAAGCTTGGGAATAGACCGTGAGCTGGAGAGAAACCCTGCTGGCTGGAAGCTGAAATGATGTCTATGACACAAGCTGACCCCCATCAGCAGTTCGGGGCTTGGTGGTGGGGTGCTCTCCCTCCTGCCAGCTTCAAATCCCCTTCAGAGCCTGTTTCACACTCATGAACGGGCTACCCAGGAAGCGATCACAGGGTCACATAGAGACACAAGCTCTCAGCCTCTGGACTTACCGTTCAAAGAACCATGGATGTGTACACTGGATTTCTCTACTTAAGAACGTGGCAAATTCCAAGGACAGCATGGCACGGGGCCCTGGCAGTCCCATAGAGGAAAGGCCAACCGTTTGCTTGATCCCCGGAGCACTAGGACGCATCTGTCCATGGTGGCTCGTGGAATACAGGGTCCGGCGAAAGTAACGCCCGCTTGAGTGTGGTGGGTAGGGTAATAACATGGGTGTAATAATTTACAGTTTTAATTTGACCATTTCACCGAAAATGTCATACGGCATGCTTGAGAGTGATATCATTATGTTACAGAATGACATGCTTATGACTTTGTAATATCATAAAGGGGCGTTATTTGTGCCAGATGCTGTATAATACTTTTGTCTAGAGTGAGTTAAGAGCTCCTGCTAACCAGAGCCAGCCCAAAGTCTTCAGACAAGGGCAGAGGCTTGGTGACAACTGCCCTCGCTCTCCAGTGTGGTGCTGGGCCCTGGGCTCCGACACGGGTGGGCAAGGGAAGAACAGGGCCAAGCACGCATTGCCATTGGTTTTATGGGTGAAGGGGGTGCCCTGGTAGGGTTTGCCCTCCGCCAAGCAAAGGCCCAATGGGAGTCCACGCAGCAGGAAGAGAGCTGTCAAACCTAGCGCTTTGAGTGTGGGTAAAACTTCCATCTTCAGCGGAAGCTTTAGAAATGTGTTGATCACTAGATTATGGGCTCCGTGTTATTTCTTAATTTAAAGTGAATTTGGACTCCAGAGTGTTTGCGGGTTGTTTACTAGTTACGAGATGTTGGACATATTACTTAAGCATTGTGAGCATCAGTTTCCTCATCTGCAAAATGGGGATGGTGATAACACTTTTCATGTGTGTGTGTGGGAGGACTGAACAAGATAGTACTTAGAATAGTGCCTTGCATACAGGAAGCGCAACACTCGTGTTAATGACAAGTGGTACTTTTATACGGGTTGTTATGTCACTAATAGAGAGCTGAAAAAAATTAAAGTAAAACAGTCTACATTAATGTATGCTATTTTTCAATGATCCTCAAAACCACCCCAGGAGAAAAGTATTATATCTCCCATTTTAGAGGTGAGAAAACTGAGGCCCAGTGGTTACATAATTTAACCAGGCCGCTCTGCAAACAGAGCTGGTGGCGCTCAATCTCTCAATTCCAGTACCTTTCCCA